AAAGGGAGCATGTCCAAGTCGGTAGAGGTTTGGGTCACGAAGACTGATTGCGACCCGTTTTGAGTCGCTCAGACGAGCTGTACTATGATCACGAGTCATACTGGATCGTTTCAGGAGGGAGAGATACTGGTGAAGGCTCCACGATGACAGTGGATTTCGCGAGTAAATTACTTTAAAAAAGCGCTTTTTATCCAAACCCAACTGCTGATGAGAAATATTAATATTATTATTTGTCTAAAATTGTCATGATTATCAATTCCTCTCTTTACATCACGTCAAACGCCTGAAAATGTAAAAGTCTACTTACGCAAATTGTAGTAATACCGCTGATAATAATGGCCTTATACAATGTAATTACTTGAGGGGCCACAGTTGCACCGTCACCCACTGGCATTTGTGGTCTAGCTGCAGTTTCCCACAATCATATGAATAGTTCTGACGTTTCCATCGAAATCCATCTTGCTTCTCTAAAGGTATTCAAGTCTCGAATAAGAGTCACACCTTTTGGGAAGCGAGGTTGTGTGAAATTCAACAGAATCGTGAAGCCTATTCCTATGATCGAGGGAAAATTCAACCATCCGTCTTTCATCACCTTTGAGTGTCTAGAACTCTTCCTAAAGAGAGAAGTGAGCTTTCGGTCGGTCTAAATAGCTTTCATAATTATCCGTAATTCAGTACTTTTAAAAGGACTCAAACGATGGGTTTTCCAGAGATGCCTTAAAGAAAAAAATATATTTTTTTCGAATTAAGTATTGTTGTCGTGATATGAGATAAATTCCCCCAATTTCGTCCGCTCAACTCATATTGTTGTGGGAAAATTCTTCTTCTACTAGTCTTTCAGCACCTTAAGCGAAATTGGGTGAATACATCTCATACTACTGATTTACTGTTAGTCACGAAAACAATACCTTATTCAAAAATAAAGTATAGTAGTCGATTGTTATAGCAGATACACGTTTGCTTCATCGACAATCCCACCAAAAGAATATTATATGGCAAAAAGGCCTGCCCTTCATTGAAAATTCACATTTGCCATGTGACCCAAAATACGCTCGTGGCAGTTTGGCCGAGTGGTTAGCTTGTCAAGTTTTCATCCTGCACTGTCGCGGTTCGACACCCGCTGAGGGTGTTGATAAGACTGATGTAAGGTCGAAACCGCAGTCCACTCCCGCCGGGATGAGAACAACTTTTGGGAAAGCAAGGCTATGTGAAATTCAATGAAAAACGTCAGCTCAACTCATATGATTGTGGGACAATTCTTCTTCTACCAGACCTTCATCACCATAAACGAAATTAGGTGAATTTATCTCAAATTACAATATAAATATCTACAAATTCTAAACAAAAACTGTCTCGTCAAAATGAGGAATCATCTCCAGCTCTACACCATTCTTGAACTCTTCCAGTAGCCAATTTGTTGAGCTAATTAATTCATGCGAAGAAAAGTTGGGATTTGAGGAATCTCTTGTTTTCTCATTAGTCAGCTTAAATTTGGTTGTGACGATGATAACCTCTATGCTCCGATGATGTTCGTCATGTGACGAACGAAAGCTCTGCACCTTTTCACCGGAATCGAAGGAGATTGCCTCGGAAACATCGTCGCCATGAATGTTCCAGTAATGCCAATCGACAGCTGGTCCAGAGGAATCCACCGTTGTCTTCTGGTGGATTCAACCTTCGAATCTCTTCACTAAACACTTTTACTCGAAAAGGAAGTAGGCTCAACACTAATAACGTCAACCTGAATGTCACGGAAAAGTTTCTTTTATTTGTTTTAGTAAACGGTCCACCAGAAGTTCCATCCTATTTCTGAATGTAAAACGTGAATCCGCAAGCGATGGGGATACTTAACCGAACTCTCTGTACAAGATAGGACATGAAGCCACTTTCAGAAACCGGAAATTGTGCAACAAGCCTGTGATTTTATTCTGATCTTTGCTGCTCATTTGTTCGAGCTTCTCGAATGGCTCCAGGGTTGAATGGCGCTCATTTATTCGTTTCAAACTTTGATTGTTTTCTGTGAATTCGTATGCACTTTGTGATTTTGATGGGATCAAAGAAGACGCGATAGTGTATCTAAAACGACATTTTTTTAAAATATATAAAAATATATAAATATATATACCGTTTGGAGAATGGATTATGAGGCCCAATCAGTCGAATCTGAGACATTTAAGTGACACTCCTTCGACACCTTAAGCGAACTTGAATGAGTTCAAGTCTCGAGTGAGCATATCTTGTGCGGCCCCTTCTGTGCCAGAAAAGAGATTTATTTATGTGACCGCTGAACAAGAATGATCCGTATAGGCAAAATAGGAAGCAATTCCTGAAATGCAGCCCGCATCGTCACGGAATCGACAACTCGGACCAAATGATGATCCCCTCTTGCACTACGGAAAGTCAATGAAGCCAGGTCTCTTTTTCTCAGTCCTGCAGACGCCTTCACACTGTCGCAGCATGGCGGTATTTTGTGCCCAAGATGTATTCACACCATAGGCCATTGCTTCCGCTTTATTAAAGCATCATTAAATTCCACGTCTTGTTAGTCTACAAATGGATGACCACTACACGTTTAAAGGGAAGTTCTTGGTTTATTTCATGTACACTTTAAATAAGTAGGTCCCGAGATGACTTAATAACGCATAGACTTGGCGACACGTCCAGACGGTAGAAGACTGATGTATTAAATTTAACCCAATTTTATGTAGAATTAAGAGCTCTAAACTCATAGAGCAGTGGGGAAACAGGCGAGTAGCATTAGGCGATCTCGTTTCTCTGGTCGGAGAGCAGAAAAACTGGAAAAGTGATGATTTCCGCTTTGCAACGTTGGCTGCCCATTTATCACGGACTTTCAATTGTGGGCCAAATTTGTAAAAAGTTTATTATCTCCCC